CAGAGGATTTCAGGAAGGAAGCATGGAATGTCGCCATAAGATCCAATGGGCAAAGGGATGGACCAGCAGGGCCGGGAGGCACAAAGAGTTGGCTACAGAGCAGGGCGGAGCCAGTGCCCTAAGAGAGCCCAGAGAGAGGTTCTGGAGGCAGCAAGTGCAGATAGCTTTTCTTTAAAACCAGAAGAGAAGGAAACAAGAGAGATTAAAGAGAAGAAGGATAAACCAGGGGTGGGGGACCCACTGTACAGTAGATTCTCCTACTCTGTAATATTTATTTGTAACCCCCAAATCAATACTAGCACTTTGGTATCCATTCCAAGACATGCCCAGAGTGGCAAAAATTTGTGTCTCCCAACACACATGTCCCCAGCCGAGGTGGAACAAGGCAACGCTCGGCGTCCTCCTTTCAGCTCATACTGTAAACCAGTGTCCTTCTGGCAGTGTATTTAGTGCCATGTTTTTTGCATTTTTGTGCTTTTTCTTGGTGATTTTGCTGTTTAAATGACCCCTAAGTGTAGTCCTAAAGTTCTGCCTCGTGTTCCTGAGAAGGCTGGGATGTGCCTCATAAAGAAAATACACGTATTAGACCAGCTTCATTCAGTCACAAGTTATAGTACCATTGCTAGTGAGCTCAATATTAATGAACCTACAATATATACTAAATAAGGCATCTTTAAACAGAAACACACACAAAACAAGGTTATGTACTGGCTGGTTGACAAAATGTGACCGGGGGCTCACAGGAACCTAACTCTGTATTTCCCACAGGAGCAACGGTTCAGTATTCACTAATTCAATGTTCGCAACAACTTTATAGGTCATAGCTACTGCCAATAATGAGAATGGACTATGTTTGGTGAAATAATTGTTAGGCATGTGCAGTGAATGTGCGTCAGAGCAGAGTGTAAGTAAACACAGCTGCACACAGCCAGGTTTCCACCTCTGGAGCACTGGCTGGGTCTTTTCTATCTCATCTGGGGGCTCCGGCACCCCCAGTAGGTGAGCGGTCATGGGAGACCACGACAAGAAGTTGTCACTAATGGGTCTGATCCCTGAATATGGAAATTGATCAGCAAGCTCACTGAGTGGCCCGTGTTTTAGGGCCACCCCTCCCACATAGCTGATGGTAGGTAGGTATGTTGTTAACACTTCCAGTCAATTAAAGTCTTTGCCATCCAGTTGGCTACTACATATCCAGCTTCTCTCAACACATGACAAATGTACCTAAAACAAATAATCCTTGAGGTTTTGCCCTCTCACACTATTTTCTAAACATGGGGATATTAGCATGAGAAAGGAAGCAAAAGAGAGTTTTGCAGACAGACAGACATCAAGACCTAGTCCTAATCCTCTGAGAGTAGGGGCCAGTAACACCTCAGCTTCCTCAACTACAAAACAGAGATAATAGTGGCACAACCTCATCTGGATTGTTGCAAGATTTATATAAGGCAATGAAAGTGAAGGGTCCAGACACAGACCCAGGCGCCCTTGAGATTTCCCGTCTTCACTGGTGCAGGGGCCAGGCACAAAGCAGCATTTGATGAACATTTGTTGAATAAATTGATAAAATTATAAGACTGATTCTTTCCACTGTGCAGATATGGACAAAAGGCCTAAGAGTTGCCTCCTTTGCTGCTCTTGGGTGTAGAGTTTAAGAATCCCTCACTGATCAACACTGCGACATAAAGGAAAGTACTTCCCTCGTGCCGCTGTGGTTTGGGTACGCTCGGTATGGTTTGTGGTCTTTTGGCTACGATGTAATTAAAAAGTCAGAACTATTCCAGCTATAAAGATCAAGAAAGTCTGCGACTCTCACATAGATTCCTTTCAACATGAGAGTTGGGACCTGATTCTCCATAGTTCCTATTTTAGTGTAACAAATAAGAAAAAATTTCAGAGCTCTTTGTTTAAATATAGTCACGCACCACATAAAGACGTTTTGGTCAACGATGGACTGCATATACAGCAGTGGTCCCATAGATTAGTACCATAGAGCCTACGTGTGTAATAGGTTTGTGTAAATATACTCTATGTAGAGCCTAGGTTTGTGTAGGTACACTCTGTGATGTTCACACCACGACAAAAGCGCTTAACGATGCATTTTTCAGAACGTGTCCCCATCGTTAAGTGACACACGACTGTATTACCTTTCACTATCCACCGTTCTATATGAAACAATCTTCTAGAAACCTGAAAGAATCCTAGAACAGTGTTTATTAAATCACAAAAACACTTACTCAGCTCCTATTTCCTTCCATAAACTGAGCTAGACTCTGAGGATTCCATGCAATATGAGCCCAAGTCTCTGCCTTCACGGAGCTCCTCACCTGAAAAACGTCATTCAAAATTTGAAAATTGTCATCCTGATTTTGGTCATGCATTCGGTTCATTCCTTCCTTCCAACTCGACTGAACCCTTATTATATCCTAGACACTATTCTTAGCATTATGACAATAAGTTGAATTAATTAATAAGATGACAAGGTCATGTATCCTCAAGGAGTTCATGGTCTAGCAGGGACAAAAACAAGTAAAAAAAATAATAATAGACCTTTGAGGGAACTGAGCCTGAAGGTTATGGGGCTGGATCACTGTCTCACAGCTCATAAGTGGCAGAGCAGGCTCAGAGCCAGGCCAGCTGATTCCAGCCAGCGGGTCTGCCTCCTCTCTGGATCCCCTGTGCTGGCCTTACCAGGCTCATTTTAGGATTCTAGGAAACTTGGAGCACAGTGTGGAAATCTGCCTGCTGAAGGTCACAGGAGGGCAGGGTCAGAACTGGGACTTCAGTTCAAGTCAACGTCCAGGCCAGGGTGGTAGCATTTGGCCTTCCATCCGTGCTGCCTTTAAAAGAGACATTTTTCAGGTGGGCAATTTCTTTGTAGAAGTCAGATCCTGAATTCATATTACAATACATATATGTGTGCACACACAATGTAATCACATTATTAATAAATAAAATACAACCAATTCATTGAGAATTCTATTCTTTCCCCCTGAGGATGCTCTGTAAAGCAAAAAGAAATGACTTGTTTATAAAAAAGGAACATGATGAGTCTGTTTATTCATAACGAGTAGTTTCTTCATCTCAGTATGAAGCTGGTTTTTATTTTTAGGATGCATATAGATTAAAAAGAAAACCTACCATTTGCATCTTTCATTCAAAATGGCCTCACTGGTAAATTTTCCTTCTATTTTAGTAAAATGTCAGTTGACTTCTTTCAGATTCCAGTGGTTAGACATTAATTTTACTATGCTGAATGCTTGCTGCGTGTCGGGCTCTGTGCAGGGCACTGAGAGACGATGGCAAAGGAAGGTCCCTGAGCCCTGCACCGAGAGGCTAGTGGAGGCAGATGGGGCAGAGAGGAGATGGCAATTGCAGTGCCCTGGCGTGAGGATGTTAGGGAGGTCCATAAAGGGATGCATCTCTGACTTGGGAGGGGGTCAGAGTAGACCTCCCAAGGGAAGTGACACTGACCCGAGACCTGGATGGTGAGGAGGAATTAGCCAGGTGGATGTTCCAGGTAAAGGTCACAGCAAGAGGAAGTGCAGGTATTTCAGTACTGCTGGAGTTTAGGGCTAGGTGGGCTTAGGAGAGATTTGGCTAGACAAGAGGGAGAAGGCCTCTGTGGGCCATGCCAGGGAGTTCGGACTTTATCCTGAGGGCACACAGTGTTAGGTAAACTGTAAAGCCTGTGAAAGCTCAAGCTTTATTATTAACTTATGTGTGTGTGCAAAAATGAATGTGCACTGAGTTGATGTCTATAATTGCACCAGAAGATTCCTTTTATGTGTGCCCTTCATGGTGTCCCTTTACCACTTGGGAGCCTCTAAAAATACATAGCTATATTCACTCCAATCCCTAGTAGCTGGGAATTTATACACCTGTGTGACTCTGTGATGCTCAGTGTGGGTTTGGAAGACCAGGGCTTAGTCTCCAGCTTCCCACAGCACTGGGGGCAAATAGGCTGTTCTTCCTCTTGGCTCAGTGTCTGTCTTTTGCACACCTCTGCTATAGCCCATAAGTGAAGTGATCATTAGGGGACTTAAGTGGAGAAAGATCAGAGTCTCTTCTATGTTTCAAGATAAACGTAATGACAGCATGCAAGGTGGACTGTGTGGGATCAGGACCTGAGGTAAGAAATGCAAGTGACAGTTCAGTGGTGATGGTAATGAAACGATGGGCCAATGCCAGAGAATATGTGTTAGCAAAATCAATAAGACCAGATATTAGGAGAAGATGTTAGGAGAAGATGAAGGGTAAAGAAGAGTCAATGACACTCTAAAATTTTGAGCTTGAGAAAATTAGGTGAATGGTGATGTCTTCAATTAAGAAAGGGAGCTAAAGAGGAGGCTGGTTGAGTTTCAGGGGCTCACAGGGTACCCATAGCAACTGCATCCAGTTGGGATGATACAAGGGCCTGGATTTCAGGATAGAGGCTGTTAAGAGGTGCAATTTGGAAGTAATTGCACATCATTGATAAAGTCAGGCAAATGGAAGAGATGACAGAGTAATCTATAGAAGAAGAAAAGAATTGGGCTAAGGAGATAATACAAATGGTCACCGGTATTTAAATTATTGATCAAGAAAAGAAAGGCAGATAAGATTTCACAGATTTGAAGGATTAAAATCCAGTTTGCAAAAAGCAGAAAAGTGAATGGGAGGTGAGGAGGTTGAGGCAGCAGCCATAGACCACAATTGTGTGAATGAGCTTAGCAGAGAGGGAAGGGAGGAGGGCAAGATGGTTGCTGGGATGGTGATACTGCGTCAAAGGAAGGCGTTGTTGTGTTTGTTTGCTCTTAAGATGGAGAAACTTGATCACATCAGCGGCAGCAGATACAAAAGCCACGGGATAACGATCGAGGGTGCGTGACACTGAGGAGATGACTGAGGAGCAGTCTCTGGGAAGAGACCAGAGACGGTGGAAAGGCGAGGACAGGAGCTGCACAGCATAGTGCAGATATTCAGAGGGGTGAGGGCAGCAGTTTTAGGGTGCTCACTCCAAGTAGCTTCTATTTCTAAATACACATGCTTTTACCTGTGTTCCCTTACCTCAAGGCTGTCACTCGAAGCCAGTATTTATTCTTACTCTGTCCCATTGGTTCGGTACCTTCTATTTCCAGGAGGAAAGATCCTTCTCATGATATCTAAAGATAGAAAGGGAAGGTATAGACTCTGTCATTCACATCAAGATCTAAGACGACATGGACTACGTGACTATAAGTTAATGAGAAGGATTGTGACTAGCGTGACCAGAAGCCATACTGCTAAGAGAATACTCAAGAACATGGTAACTTCACCCCCCCATCAAGCTCTCCCTCACTCCCTCTTGTGTGGTGTCACAGCTGAACTCCATGCTTATTTCTCTCCACGTGTGACCTGTCTCAGCCTCCACTGTAAACCCTTGAGGGCAGGGACTGTCACATTTATCTTTCAGTCCTCCACGGGGTCTTCCCAGTGCCTGTCACACACATTTGTTGAATTAAATTAAATTGTCATGTTCAAAGCTGTCTCTGAGATGGCTGCATCACATCTGTGTCAATAATGTTCCCAAGGCCCAAAATGTTTTTAGAATTCCAGCTCTGAATTATCTTCTGAGGCATGTGAGGATGTTAGGGAGGTCCATAAAGGGATGCATCTCTGACTTGGGAGGGGGTCAGAGTAGACCTCCCAAGGGAAGTGACACTGACCCGAGACATTAAGTATATCCTTATAATATATTTTTGTATCAAATGGCATTTTCCCAATGTGGTAGCCAGCCTCCAAGATGGCCTCTTGGTATTCACACTGTTGGGTATTCCCCTCCACATTGGACCAGACTTGGTCTGTATGATTAATAAAATATACAGATGTAATGGTATATCACTTCTGAAATTAGGTAATAAAAGGCTGTGGCTTCCTTCTTGGGTGCTCTGTTGCTTGCTCATTCTCTCCCTCTCTCTCTCTTTCCCTCTCTCTCTCATCATTTTCTCTGGGGTAAGCCAGCTGTCATGGCTTAAGGACATTTAGACAGCCCTGTGGAGAAGGAGAAACTGAAGCCCTCAGTCCAAGAGCCCATGAAGAACTGAGGCCTGCCAACAACCATGTGAGCAACATTGGAAATGGATCCTCAGCCCCAGTCAAACCTTCAGATGAGATCACAGCCCCAGTCTACATCTTGTCTGCAACCTTGTCAGAGACCCTAAGCCAGAACCACCCAGCTAAGCTGTTTTTGGTTTCCTGCCCCTCAGAAACTGTGAGATAATAAACATTTGTTGTTTTAAGCTGCTAAATTTTGGGGTTATTTGACACATAGCAATAGATAACTAATGCACCCAAGATGGTTATTAATCTGATTAATCACATTTATTTCCAGATGGCTTTTGGCTATTTCCAAAATCAAATCCAAGGACAAATATTTTCCACCACTACAGAGATTCAAAAGAATGGGACATAGATCCTGATGGCAATTCCAAAAGAAGAGTTCAAAAAACATTCTCTCACACTGTTAGAATAACTGTATATTCTCCCAAAGTGACAAGTTGGAGGAGGTCTAAAACTTAGGAATTTTTTTCTTAGATCAAGCCTCAGATTGTAGGCCCTAGCACTTCAAATAAATTGGAGTATGCCTAATGAGGATCAGACATTGAACTTAATGAAATATTGATATCCATGTTATTCATTGTAATGAAGAACTGAAATAGGGTGAATTTCACAATTCTTCTGGAAAACAGCATGGAAAACACAGAGGCTTTAGAGTCTGACAGATCTGTATCAAAGTCCTGTCTCTGCCACTCACTGCCTGGATCAAAGTCCTATGTTGGTAGCGTAGCCTTGGAGAAGTTCAGAAACTCAGTAAGCCTCGGTTTGCTCATCTATAAAATGGGAAGGAACCTAGTGCTACCTCACAGGATGGTCGTGAAGGTTGAAGGAAAAAACTGTGTCAAGCAATTAGTACAGAGTATTTCATGTACGTAATTAATGCCATGAGTTATTACTCATTTCTTCTATATAAGCAGGTAACACATCTGGTTTACAGAGCTATCATGAGGATTAAATGACTAAACTGATCTATAAAAAGGAGTAATTAAATGACTGTTAATTTTGTCTGCTTATTGCAAAGTTCCATTGAGGGTGGAGGGCAAAAAGGAGATCAAGGTTGGGCTTTTCAGAAAATGCCCGAAGTGGGGCAGGAGAAAAGCTCAATGCTGATTTCCTGAACCAAATGTGGTATTTTGAATCCTGCCAACTTTTAAATGAGTTTTAAAGGCTCAAGGTTACTTTTTTAATGGTTTGCAAACAAATTTATGCAGTACTGTTCTTTTCATTTTCACTTAAAATATTTTGTATTTCAGGGGTTTATCTCTTACGAAATGGCTTGAACAGAGTCTGGCTTGATCAGAAAAGGATCTGTTGTGGTCCTATGGAAGAAAATAGGGCCACTTACCTGGTGACCATTCATAAAATTGTTCATTTCTGGATTTGTCAGGAATGAGACCTGTAGCACAGTAGCAGTCATAAACCAAGACCCCTCTGCCCACTTCCGGAATGTTCTGTGATTTTATTACTGATGGCCCACATCTGCTTCTTAAGCGAGAAAGCAGTGGGAAACCACCAAAGAGTTTTGCCGCCATCAGCACCAATAGGAGAAAGCCTCAGGAATGTAAGAATGGTTCCTCAGCCACAGAACACTAACCAATCCCACTTCAAATGAGAGCCACGCAAGAAGGAAGAAAGGAGAGCCCTCCCTCCCCCAACCAAGACCCTTAAAGGGATGGTCAGCTCTAGTCACATGGCTACAGGATACAGAATTCAGCCCTACCCAGTCAGATGAGGTTTAGTCCAGATCCTCCCAGCTACACATTATTGCATACCTGGGCCCTACAACTTCGGTCAGGCACCCAGGAGGGAACAAGCATGTTCAAGTTTGGGGACCCTCTCAAGGTGAAAACCAACATCTGCCCTGCCTTATTGACAGAGATGTTGGGGCCATGATATATGGAACATCTCTGTATTAATGTACAGGGATGCCTACGTGAAAAGTTATATCATTAAGAAATAAAAGAAAATTTTTATTTTCAGGAATTATTGTAATTGTTCAAAGATTGTGTATCGACGTTTCTGGTCTTAAATGACACACTAACAGAAAGCTTCAATATGAAGTTGTTTCAAGACAAAAACATTAAAAAGAACAGATCTCAGCTTACCAAGTCGATAATTGTTTCTCCATCTAGAGGACGACCCCAATATGTCCCCAAAAATCATCTAAGTAAATTTAGGCATCAGTGTGTGTCAGCACATGAAAGAGAGAAAAAGAAAAGACATTGTAAAAAATGCAAATATTATCTGGAGGACTCCAGTGTATTATATAATTCTTTTTTGTTGTTGATGTGGAGGAAGATTGGCCCTGAGCTAACATCTGTTGCCAATCTTCTTTTTGCTTGAGGAAGATTGTCCCTGAGCTAACATCTATGCCAACCTTCCTCTATTTTGTATATGGGATGCCACCACAGCATGGCTTGATGAGGGGTATGTATGTCCGCGCCCAGGATCTGAACCCACGAACCCCGGGCCACCGAAGTGGAGTGCGCAAACGTAACCACTACACAGCAGGCCAGCCCTATAAATCATTTTTAATGCAATAAGGCAACATACTATATTAAATAACTTTATATGGTATGGAACACGTATGTCTAAGAAAGCACATGGGCAAGAACAATTTACACGAAGTTTAAATTGACTAAAAAGCTTTCCACTAGACTCAGAATTACTCTCAAATGTTGGGGGCCAGAAAGATGGAAACTTGTTATATGGACTTGCAAATATATTGTGTTTAGGTCAAATTTTGGAGTTTTCTCCCTATGACGTCCCCACAATGCATTCAGTTTAGGTGTGCATGAGTAGTTTTCATGAAGCCACTGCAAGTCCTTATAAAAACATACGTCCACTTGAAAACTTGTACATGAATGCTCATAGCATCATTATTTACAATAGCCAAAAAGGAGACATAACCCAAATGTTGATCAACTAATGAACAGGTAAACCAAATGTAGTCTATCCATACAATGGAATATCATTTGACAATAAAAAGGAATGGAACGCTGATACATGACACAACAGGTATGAACCTCCAAAACATTACACTAAGTGAAATAAGCCAGTCACAAAAAACACATACTGTATGATTGGATTTATATGAAATCATCAAAATAGACAAATCCAGAGACAGAGACAGCAGATTAGTGGTTGTACGGGGCTGGGGAATATGGAGACTAGAGAATGATTGATAAGGGGTATGAGGTTTCTTTTCAAGATGATGAAAATATTCTGGATTTAGATAGTGGTGATGGTTGTACAGCCTTATGAATATATGAAGAATCACTGAACTGTACACATTAAAAGTGTGAATTGTATGAAATGTGAATTATATCTCAATAAAGGTGTTATTAAAAAAAGAGGGCACAAGTGACCTAAGCCAGGCCAATAGGAGTAATGCCAAGAGACCTCTCCAGTGGGGCTAAAGAGAAATGCTCCCTTTTCCTCCTAAATTTAGAGGATATGAATCTGGGGTAGCTTGTAGCTCTGCTTCCTGTACAAGAAGAAAGCTTATCTACAGTAAGATGGCGGGGGGGGAGGGCGGGGAGGAGGGAGAAGGAGAGGAGAAAATGAATGTGGCATAGATAGTGTTGAAAGTCCCTAAATTGAGATGTCCATGAGGCCCAACTCTTTCCTTTCCTCTCTGGGAACATGAATCAAGGAATTATCCCTTCATGGCTGAGGCTACTTCTAGTTGGATTTTTATCTCTTGAAATGGAAGATGATAAATAAATGAAATGCCCATCACCTCTCCTCCCCTGAGCTCAGAATTCCTGTTCAGTTATTCTTCCTCAATTTCTCCCTTTTGGACTGTTTTGGGTCTTTTGGCTGAAACCCTAATCAAACCTCATGCCATCCACTCTAAATCAGGATCTGTCTAAAGTCGAGTTCACTCATCCACCTACAGTTGTTAGGACCACACTCTCGATGGCAATGGCTCCTCTGTGTGGTTGACTGAGTGCTCGTGCGCCATATTGAAACCTTTTATCCTTTGCATATTTGACTTTCAAAATGAAAAATAAAAAAAGACTCCCCATAATTCAAATGCTTATTTGGTTACGGAGAGGAGAATATTAGCAAATTTAGAAATTTATTGGAGGAGGAAGTCAAGATGGCGGCATAGGCAGACTCTGAACTCACCTCCTCCCGCGGACACAGCCAATTTACAACTACTTGTGGAAAAATTACCCCTGAGACAGAAGTGAAAACTGGATAAGAGGAACTCCTGCAACAACGGACAATCCTAACTGAGGTAGAAGAGGCAGAAACTCCCTTCTGGGGAGGAAAAACGCTGCCTTCACAAGCCGCAGCGCCTCACGGCCGCCCAGGAGCAGCCCAAAGGTACGGAGCCCTCCCTGGAGACGCGGGGCCCTGAGCCAGGGAGCGCACCAACTGTGGGCATTTTGTGGACCCAGCACAATCGAGATGAGTGGCCTAATATCTGACTTTGCCTGCTACTAAAACATTGGGGAGTACCCCCAGAAAAGCTGGTTCACAAAGAAATTAAAAACCAGCACTTATAGGGCCCACATGCAAACTCACCTGTTTCAGAAAGCAACCTAAAATCACCAGAAAGAAAGGTGCACAGTGCTTTGGTGAAAAGAAACTGACCTAATAGGCCCTGAGTGCATCTCGGTGAGAGGTGAGACCTCTCCAGGGACTGGGACATTGGTGGGGGCCATTGTTGTGGCCTGGTGTGGGCGTGCTGACACAGACGCCATTGGAGTACTCCCTGAGGCCTGCTAGCCCAGGGTCTGCCCCACTTACTACAGCACTGATTTAATCCAGCTCAGCCAGGGCAGGCAGCCCACCCTAGAGACTGGCCCCACCCAACAACAAGCCCTCAGGCAACTTGTGGGCCTGC